TGCTTGGTCGGGAGCCGGGGCCGGCGATGCTCAGCCGGGAGCGGGGCCGGCGGTGCTCGGCCGGGGGTGTTGGACCAGGGGCCGGCGCTGACCCGGGGCCGGGGGTGCTCAGCCGGGAGCCGGGGCCAGCGGTGCTCGGCCGGGGGTGTTGGGCCGGGGGCCGGCGCCCCAGGGCCCAAGCCAAGCTGCGCGGGAGACGCCGGGGCCAGAGCCTCTTGGCCTGGGCCGCTCAGCGGCACCCCGCCCCAGCCCCAGCTTACCTGCTGCCTCCCTGTTGCCTCCCTGTTTCAGGCTTCCTGCGAACATTTGATTTGCGGGAAGCAGGGGAGGGGGAGGAGCAGGGGGCGGAGCATTCAGGGGGGGCAGAGTTGGGGCAGGGACTTTGGGGAAGGGGTGGAGTTGGGGGCGGGGCTGGGGCGGAGTTGGGGTGGGGCCGGGGCCCCATGGAGTGTCCTCCTTTTTTAAAATGAAAATATGGTAACCCTAGCAGAAGGTGACTGACAGTCAGCTGGTGGAGAGAGTGGCGAGCGAGTACATGAGCAGCAGAGCGAGTAAGGTACCTCTTTACCCCTCCCAGGAGGGGAGGTGAACTCTGCAGATGTACCTCTGAACTCTGGGTCTGCACTGACCAAGGACAGCAACTGTGAGTAGGGTGCAGAGAAGGGTTTGCCATGTGAAAGGGGCTTTTGAGTTGCTGGACTTAAGAACCTGAGGGGAAAAGGACACTGCCCAACCTACTGGGGGTGGGTCTTTTACTCATAGTTTATGTTTATGAACCCTGTTTGTGGCGTTTTCCCAAATTAATGCCAAGTTTACTTCCCTCCTTTTATTAAAAGTTTCTTTTCTACACTCAGACTCTGTGCTTGAGAACGGGGAAGTATTGCCTCTCAGAGGCACCCAGGGGTGGTGTGTAAATTTCCCAGGTTACTGGGTGGGGGCTTGAGCCAGTTCTGTGTTGTATCAATGGAAGGGAACCCCTAGATATTGAACCCGGCCCTGGTTGCTGCTGCCTCCACCTGGCAGAAGGGTTACACCAGAATATAAACAATTGGTGCCAAAATATACAAACACAGCGATCATGGGTGGATTGGATTGACTTTACAGTCACATTCCTGCCTGCTGCACTGGAGTTCTACCAAAGCCAGGGGAGGGCTTGCTGCAAATTGTATATTCAGCTGTATGCAAACCATGGGTTGTGACCTCTAAACAGGATGCGGGAGGGGTGGTTTCTGGCTAGCTTTCCAAGCAGGAAAAGGTTGTGACCCACAGGTACAGTGTACAGAGGGCCTTGGTTGCACACTCCCCACAATTCAGCTCACTCCCAGGAAAACTCCATGTGCTTCTCTCTTGTTTTTTCTCTACAATAACAAGTCGTCCCCCCCCCCCCATGTTGCAGGGGCTTAGTGGATTGCCAGGCACCCCTGGGAAGCTGCAAACATGCATTTAAAGCAAAAGCTGTCCTGATCGTTGAACCTTTGGCTTTGTGCTAGCAAAGCATTTAATGACAGGTTTCAGAGTAGCAGCCATGTTAGTCTGTATCCGCAAAAAGAAGAACAGGAGTCCTTGTGGCACCTTAGAGAC